GCTGATAACTCCTACACATCTCAAATACTTTTTAATGTTGTCCCTTTTCATCTTGATGGTGTTGATGAAAGTTTTGACCACCGAGAAGCTCAGGCTCAGAGCCCAACATTCCCAGAGTCCTTTTCTGTTTAATCATTCCCTTTAAAATCATCTCCTTCTTCTTCTGATGTGTATTAGTGGTTAGCAAGTGAGAGCTGCCTTAAAGTGGTATCAGCACAGAAGAGGGAACACATTGTGAGTACGAGTACAAGTACACACACCGATATCAGTATCTGTGTAGATGCTAGTATCGGTGCGTTCATAATCGTTTTGACCCAGTTGTTTTGAAAAAAAACTATGAAGTTGTGTTTTAATCATTCCACCTTGAAAAAAATGTTTCAAATAAATAATTGGAAGCCTCAAATGAACGAGTCATGTTCCCGAGTGAATGTAAACTGAAACCTGCCGGGGTTTCATTTACCTTAAGTGTTTTGTTTTTTTTACTATAACCGTATTTTTCAGACTATAAGGCACACTTAAAATCCTTGAATTTTCTCAAAAATCGACAGTGAGCCTTATAATCAGGTGCACCTTATGCATTAATTCTGGTTGTGTGACCTCGAACCGATTTTATGTGGTTATTGTGAATGAGTTGAATAAAGTTTGACTTGACTGTTTTGTTTCGCTTAATGCGCCTTATAGTCCGAAAAATACGGAATTTGTTGGCGTTTATAATGTCTTTAAAAGTCTTGCTGTACAAAGTCAATGAATAAACGGTGTAAAGTTTTACAGATGACAAATGTTGCTACAATCATTTTACAGTGATATTAAATCAGCTTAATATAAAATGCAACATAAATGAAGTCAGTGGTAGGACTTTCTGCTTCAGTTCTTGGAAACGGACTGTGTGTGAACAGATTTACCTACGAGAATTTTCCATAAAAGCCCATTAAGGCCTGGAAAAACTGCCACATAGGAAGCATTTAGTGAGTTTGAATTGGGCCAAACAGAGTCCGTGGTCTTTGTATTACAGTTTCAAACCTGTCGACCAGACAAGTGGATTTTCCAGCTCAGTTTCCAGAAATCTCCGGGCACTTTTTCTAGGAACGCCTGACAAGCATGGCTGGTGTGTTGCTACTGTGGCAACACAGATCCAGACGGTGCTGGAAACTAATCTGTTGTACAACCTGCTGGCTCTTTGTTAAAGGCTGAAACTGTCTCTGACGTATAAAAGTAGAAACATTTAGAAATCGTCATACAATCACAACGCAAATGCAAAATATATGACGTGTAACAAATAAGTAAAAATAAAAACTAAAGTTGCATTTTTTTTTTTAAAAAGGAATGAGATTATTCACGTGCCCTTCATGATGTTTAATGTAAATACGCTGTCAGTCTCTATTTCAAAGTCACTCCCCATATTTACATATTTTGACATCTTTTTGTGTTTATTATCTACAAATAAAGTCCCTTCAGTGCACGAGGCGAGAAGTGCACACTTCTCCCAACTTGACGCAGCATTACCTACAAGCGCCTAAAGCCGACGTCTGGAATGAGCTAAACTGTAGACACTGTTCGTAGTTTATTGAATCCGAACGATGCGACCTGCGTGCGTTCGCCTGCGTTACGGGATGGGGAGGGTGGCACCTCTTGGGGTTTTCTCGAAAATTGACTTTCATAATTGCTACACAGGGGACAGAGAGGATTGTCCAGAGTGTCTGCGCCGCGAGGACAGAAGGTGAGTGGCTGTTTTTTTCACAAATAAAATTATATCTATACCTTTAAAAAGATTGCAGCATTTATCAACACAGGACAAAAAAAAGTGTTTTTGAGCCGTGATTGTCATGCTAGCGCTTAAGTAAAAGAAAAAAAAACAACAACTAAGAAGGAAATCAGAACCAGCATGTAAAGATTATAAGCCGGACTCAGATCAGGGACGTTTGATGGTTTGAATCCCTGGACTCGCTAAGAAAAGCTAATGAAGTTACAAACGTGTGCTAAAAATAGCTTCAATTTTCTGTTTTTTGTTTCAAGACATATTTAAAACGATCTCATTTTACCAGGTTCTTAAATTATTTAAACCTCAAGTGAGCAGATTCAAATGTGTCGAATAAACCAAAATGAAAAAGCTGCGTGAAAAACTAAATCCATGATATTAGCAATATTAACAAGTATTTTTTCAGGCCCTCACACGCTTGTAGAGGAATTTTGGTCCATTCTACTTTACAACACCTCAGTTCATGTAGGTTTGTATGTATTTTTAATACATTTAAGTTTCCACCAAAACATTTTAATCTGGATTGGACTGTTACAACTTTATTTTTTCTTTCTTCTTCATCCATTCTGTTGTAGATTGGCTGCTGAGTTTGGGATCTCTGTCCCGGTTCAGGCCAAGCTTCAGCGATCAGACATTTGACTCTAGAACATTTTGGTTCACAGATGAATTCATGGTCGACTCAGCACGCAGGTCCTGTGGCTCCAAACAAGCTCAAATCATCAACGCTCCACCACTAACTGTTTCCTTGCACAGCTATAATGATGGAACTGGAGATTATATTTGAATTATTTCAAAACCCGACCATCTTCATGATGTCCTGAAAGGTAACAATCTTGAACTGAAGAAGGTTTATAAAAATAAATCAGTCTCAAAAATAGTCGCACGTAAGCGTAAAAAGATGTGTGCAATAAAAGCTACAAACAAGTTTCACAAATGCATGAACATTTTTTCAAATATTTACCGGTATATTCGAACAAGTAGGAATATTCTGCACATATACATTGTCAAATACATGTGCACAAATCGCCTGCGGTGGACGAATCAGTCAAGCATGAGCGCACGGATCAGCTTGCCTGTGAATTTGACTTTTGAAAGCTCTTACCGCTCCAGATGCTCAAAGGTAATGCTGCGTTCAAGGCTGGTAAAAAGCTGGGACATCTGAGCATCACCAGAATTACTGTTATTGAGAAGACCATTTTGTAACTTAGCACAATAGCTCATAACCTCTATATTAACTATAACTATATTAACTATATTATTGACTTCACATCCGCCTTCAACACCATGATCCCCCAAACCCTGATGGACAAACTATCCACACTAGGACTAAGCCCC